ACAGGGTTAAGTTGATGTCTGTGAATTAGTTTTGAAGTTCAATTCTATTGAATTTAATTCAAATTTATTTGTATAGCACTTTTCACAATACACACTGTTTCAAAGCAGCTTTACAGAAAATGCATGTCTACAAAGTTTAGTTCTACCTTTCCTTGAAGGAACGCACTGGAAGGATACGACAAGCCAGACGGTGAGCTGGACAGCTCTGTGTCCAATCTGCACAACCTGGTTCACCTGTTCCTCAATGGGACCAGCGCTCTGTCCCACTCCGCCGCCAACGACCCAATCTTTCTGGTAACATAGAAGACACATTAAATGACAGTAACATCACGGTGTTCAGTCTACATGAGTTCTGATTCTGGATAAAGACATGTTCTCACTTACGGCCGAACAGGTGCTTCATGCATTCACCGATGCCATATTTGAGGAATGGATGAGACGTTCCAGTGAAAACGCCAGCTTGCCGGATGAGATGGCCCCTATCGGACACAACCGGCATTATAACATGGTCCCCTTTTTCCCACCTGTGACCAATGAGGAGATCTACATCACATCTGAACAGTTGGGCTATTCCTACGCCATTGAACTTGAAGGTAACAAACATGCTGTCAATGCATACAGTATATTATAGGAATAATTTACCCCCAAAAAATGCAAATTCTATCAGTACTTACTTACCCATAATAATCCATATGCTGAATTTTTTTGAAGAACACTCCACGACTGTCAAGCTCCAAATAAGACTAAAAATATCATAAAGGCACCATAACATTGGTCACTTTGAACTGTGTGTAAAAGTAGTGATGCACCGAAATTATTTTTTACAAAAACAAAAATTAAGTGTTTTTAATAATCAATTCGTTAACCACTCTTTTAATAATCAACACTGAGTTGCATATAAACCTTTAAAGTGTGCATAAGGCAGTATTTAATGAATGTTAGCGTTTTACCAACGTTTTAATGATATTATCATGTTTCTACCTCTTGTTGAAATATAAATATTTAAATGGTGGCTAAATCAAGTTTTCATGACAGATTAATTCAAACATGTAATAATGAAGACAACT